TTGAGACAGAATCTCACTTTCTCACGCTTGGTAGAGTATCACGACATCATAGCTCACAGCAACTTCAAACTCTTGGGCTCAAGTGATTCTCTTGCCCCAGCCTCCTGAGTAGCTGGGACTACAGGCACCTGCTACAACGTCCGGCTATTTTTAGAGAAAGGGTCTCATTTTTGCTCATGCTGGTCTCGAACTTGTGAGCTCAAGCAATCCACTTGCCTCAAACTCCCAGAGTGCTGGGATTACAGGCATGAGCCACCGTGCCCAGCTTCTTAAGTGGGTTTTAAAAGGCATCTTAGAGGCTGAGCATGGTGGCTCATGTCTGTAGTCCCAGCACTTTGGGAGGCCAAGGTGGGAGAATCCCTTGAGGCCAGGAGTTTGAGGCCAAGCTAGGCAACATAACAAGACCCCATCACTACAATAAAATAGAAAATTCATCTGGGCATGGTGGTGTGTGCCTGTACAGAGTCCTCACAAGTGGGAGGCAGGAGGATCGTCTGAGCCCGGAAGTCCAAGGCTGCTGTGAGCTTGATGACCCCACTGCTCTCCAGCCTGGGCAACAAAGCAAGGCCCTGTCTCAAAATTAAAAAAAAAAAAAAAAATTTTTAGAAAAAGACGTAAAATACGGGTGGGGCCTGTGGCTCAAAGGAGTAGGACGCCGGCCCCATATACAGGAGGTGGCAGGTTCAAACCCAGCCCCAGCCAAAAACTGCAAAAAGATGTAAAATATGATAAAAGTTTAAGGCAAGTTTATCCCTTCCAAAGAGGGAGTGGTTCATACTAATTTTATGGTTGAAGAGAACAAGGAAGTTGCAATTCAATTTCGACTCCCTCACGGGAGCCACACAGCCGGTTCTAAGAATATCACCACCGTCAGAGTCAAGAGGATGAGGAGACGGGGAGCCAGGATGAAGGGCCCTGAAGGCTCTGCTGTGACCTGGACCATGCACACGGGCACAGTGTCCAGCCCCACAGCCACTTTGGCCTCCGTTGTTCATTGGCAGGGCTGGAGGCTCTGCCCGGGTGGCTGGGCAGGACTAGGAGCCCTGTGGCCCTGTGTAGGGCCTCCTGGTGCACCTGTCCTGTGTGGGTCCCCAGGGCATCTTCCCAATCCTCTAATGTGGGAGGAGTTGCTGGACACCTCCTGCTGCTCTGTCCCCACCTGCGGCAAGGTGGGGTCCACATTGGTTTAGTTTTTATTTTATGTATATTTATTTATTTATTTATTTTTTAGACAGTTTCAAGCTATTGCCCTGAATAGAGTGCTGTGGCATCACAGCTCACAGCAACCTGAAACTCTTGGGCTTAAGCGATTCTCTTTCCTGAGCCTCCTTAAGTAGCTGGGACTACAGGCGCCCACCACAACGCCTGGCTATTTTGTTGTTATTGTTGCAGTTGTCATTGTTGTTTTAGCTGGCCTGTGCCAGATTCAAACCCGCCAGCCTTAGAGTATGTGGCTGGCGCCCTGCCCACTGAGCCATGGGCGTCTCCAGGTATTGTCATCTTTTTAACAACTAAGTGACATCCCACATATGTGCCTCGGTCCATTCTGGCTGCTGTAAGGAGCTACCACAGACTGGGTGGCTTGAACACCAGACATTGGCTTCTCACAGTTCAGGGGCTGAGGGCCAAGAGCAGGGTGCTGGCAGATTCTCTCCTCACTCCTTTCCTGGTTGGCAGACAGCTGCCTTCTCAGGTCTGGTGCCTTCAACCCATGCAAGGACCCTAACCCTTTGCATGGGGGCCCCACCTGCAC